TTCTTATCATCATCTCCAGATTCATATATTCCAATATTCTACAAGCTGATCTTCCACTTGCCAGCTTCACCAGATCTCTGCTACATGCAATGTAGCAATAATTATTCTTCTCAGCAAGCACATTATCTCAATGCTCACCAATGTACATTGCAGCAAGTGTCAAAACATCTAATTGTTCATCATCATCTTTATTCTGCGTTCATCTCTAGTCTCCTCCAGTTCTAGAAGCATTGAAGAACACTACTTTCCTAACACATCTCTAAAGCAACATCTCACATTCAACCATCTAGGCCTGAAGACTAATCCTATTCTAGTATCTCTCCTTAAAACAAAAATCACCCAAGGCCATATGGGTAGAAATAAAGAGTAAAAGGTGAAATTACTCTGGATGGGGTTATATTATAGGCCTCTCAAAAGCCAGAAGGAAGATAGAGGGATAGATATGTCAACAGATCATGGAAAGATGCAAGAACAACATGGTTGTTGTGGTGGGTAAGTTTAGCTTCCCTAATATAGACCAGGACTCCCTTAGTTCCATGAGCTTAGATGCAGGCAAATTTGTTAGGTGCATCCAGAAAGGTTTCTTGAAACAATATATAGATAGTCCAACTAGCGACGGGGCCATACAGACCTTGCATTGGGAACGAGTCTAGCCATGTGATCGAAGTTTCAGTGTGGGAGCATTGATCATAATTCTGCAAGTTTTAGGATAGTTATGGATGAGAATCAGACTGGTGAAGGTGCTGAGTTGCAGGAAAGCTAATTACATTAGGCAGTAACTGGAGAAATTAAAGTGGGGGTGGCTGTTTGGGGGCAAGTCCACATTTGACGTATGGGAGTCTTTTAAAAGCCAGTTGCAGAGTTTAGGACTATCATGTTTCTATGAGAATGAAAGATAAGGATGGCAAGATTCAGGAACCTTGGATGACAAGAGACATTGAAAGTACAGTCAAAAGGGGAAAAAAAGGAAGCATGTGTAAGGTTTAGGAAACTGAAATCCATCCAGACTTTTGAGGAATAAGAAGAAGCAGGAAAACTTAAACATGCAATTAGGAGGGCTATGAAATGTCTTTGGCAAGTAGAATTAATTAATCACAAGGCATTTTATACATATATCAGGAACAAGAGGGTAAATGAGGAAAGGGTGGATTCAATCAAGGATAAATAAGAGAATGTGTGTGCAGCCGGAGGAAGTGGGTTAGGTCTTTAATGAGTATGGTGCATTTGGTATTCAACAAAGGTCACGGATGATAGTATGGTTAGGGAGAGATTATGTTGACATTTTAGGGCATGTTAATATTAAGGGGGTGGCATTTGGTGCCTTGAAAATCATGAAAATAAATTCCCCAGGGCCTGATGGGCTCTATTCCGGGATACTGAGGGAGGCAAGGAAGGAGATTACTGGGGCCTGGACAACAAAGTCCAAGAAAAATGGAGAATAGCTAATGTTGTTCCTTTGTTTAAGAAGGGAAACACAGATAATCCAGGAAGTTATAGGCCAGTGAGTAGGGAATCAACAGTAGGAAAATTATTGGAGAAGATTCTTAGGGACAGGATTTACTTGCTTTGGAAAGATTGGACCTAATACAAATAGTCAGCATGCCTTTGTGCGGGGTGGGGTGGTGGTGGTGAGGTCTGGTCTCAAATTTAATTGAGCTTTTCGGGGCAAGCAAAGAGGACGACTGAGGAAGGGAGGACAGTCAACACGGACTTTACTAAGACATTTGACTAGGTCCCTCAGTAGTCTGGTCGACAGAATCAAGTCGCATGCAATCCACAGTGAGTTAATAAGTTGGACACAAAATTGGCTTGAACGTAGAAGACACAGGGCAGTTGTGGAAGTTTCAGGTCTTTCCGACTTTCCTGCTCCTCTGATGCTGCCTAGCCTGCTGCAGTTGTGGAAGATGTTTTCATGACTGGAGGTCTGTGTCCAATGGTCCACAAGGAATAGTGCTGAGCCCTCTTGTTTAATATAAAAATGTTAGTGGTCTGATTAGTAATTTTCCAGATGACATAAAAATTGGTGCTGTTGTGGCCAGTGAGGAAGGTTATCAAAGCATATAGCAGAGTATAGATCAGTTGGATAGTTGGGCAGAGAAACAACAGCTGGAGTTTAATCTGAATAAAAGTGTTAAGGTGATGCACTTTGGGAAGTCAAATGTAAGAGGAAACTATAACAGTAAATGGCAGGACTCTCAGGAACATTGATATACAGGGGGATCTTGGGGTCCAAGTCCACAGCTTCCTGGAAGTGGCCACACAAGTGGATAAGACGGTAAAGAAGGCATATAGCATGCTTGCCTTCATTGGTAGGGGCACCGAGTATAAAAGTTGGCAAGTTACATTGCAGCCATTTAAAACTTAAGTTAGCGTGCAGTTCTGGTTGCCACACTATAGGAAGGATATGGAAGTTTTGGAGAGGGTGTTGAAGAGATTTACCAGGAATGTTGTCTGGATTGGAGCGTATTAGCTACAAGGACAGGTTGGGCTAACTTGGATTGTTTTCGCTGGAGCAGAGGGAGCAACTTAATATAAGCAAATAAAATTAGGGGACATAGGAATAGGTTGGAAGTGTCAAACAGTAGCAGGGACACGCTTAAGATGAAAAGACAAAAGTTTAAAAAAAACAGGGTGGCACAGTGGTTAACACTGCTGCCTCACAGTTCCAGGGACCCGAGTTCAATTCCACCCTTGGGCAACTGTCTGTGTGGAGTTTGCACATTCTCGCCGTGTCTGCGTGGGTTTCCTCCAGGTGCTCCGGTTTCCTTCCACAGTCCAAAGATATGCAGGCTAGGTGGATTGGCCATGCTAAACTGTCTGTAGTGCTCAGAGATGTATAGATTAGGTGGGTTATTGGGGGGGGGAAAATGGGTCTGAGTGGGATGCTCTGAGGGTCAGTGTGGACTTGTTGGGCCAAAGGGCCTGTTTCCATACTGTAGGGATTCTATGATACATGCGAGGGAAGTTTTTTTTTAAAAGAAACACAGAGGGTGCTAGGTGCCGGTGCCAGGTGCCAGGAACGCACAGCCAGGAGAGGCAGCAGAAGTACGTACAATAGCAATGTTTAAAGTGGCATTTAAAACAAACACATGAACAGGCAGATACAGATAACATGTAGGCAAATGTGACTAGTTTAGAATAGCATCATAGTCAGCACAGACTTATTAGGCCAAAGGGTCTGCTCCTATGCTGTACTATTCTATTCTTTAATGTTCTGTGTCTGTTTAGTGACCCTACTTTTACTAGAACGTTGTTTTGCCTTTGGATATTTTCCTACATTCAAGAAGGTGAACGTAAAGGGAAATTCTGGTGACCAATAGTTTCTTTTATTGCATTGTTCTCAAGTTGGTAATAAATAACAAATGCTGTAAAAGGCATATAGTTTTTTTTTCCCCATTAAAACACTCGTTTTAAAAAGTTGGATATAAACATCATTTCAAAAATAGAAAGTAAAATAGCTGCCAGTATTTTATAAATACTATTACTAGCTTATTCCAGACCACATCCATTTTCAAAGAATGACAAATCTTCCTTTGTGCCATTTCATTAGTTGCAAGCGTTAGAACTGCATCTACAGCGGATTCAAAATTGTCAAAAAAAAAATCATCCAGTTCTAGTTACTGGACTGCATCGTGGTTTCAATATAAGCTCAAGCACTTTAGCAATCACATGATATTTAGATAATTATATTACACAAAATTAAGTTTTAAGCCTCTACGATCAGTTTTGTCCAATTGTACACGGTTACAAGTACCATAAAAATTGTATTCTTCCCCCTATCAGTTGGTAAAATTTAAACAACTTAAAAAAAAATTGGTATTTTGATTTAACTACATGAGTGGCCTTGGGTATCAGGTCAGTACTGTACAGTGTAACTTGATTCTGGACCAATTTAAGTTTTAAAAAAAAACTTAAATCAGAACCAATTACAATAGGTTTATTCTGAGAACTTATTTCATGTGCTAGATATAACAAAACTCTAAAGTTTAAAGTTTTATGTTTCAATGTATACCAAGTCTATACAGGAAATCTCAACTGGCAAACTGCCTTTAGCTAAGCTGGAACCAAATCAAAATATACCATTAAAAACTCGACCCATCAATAAATTTCAAAGAACTGATTTTAACATGCAACATAAATACAATCTTATACGTTTCATAACTCGCTAGCAATGCTGAACTATAACCTCACCAGCAAGTTAGCTTATCTATAAATTCTTCCAAAATGAAATGTTTCTTTCATCCAAGTAGTGCACTCACAATCACATGCATTCATAAACAATACTTCCTAATCAAATCAGTTTTCCATTATTCAAGTCATTACCAATCACCCCCCCCTTCCTGGGACAAGGTTGTTGTTATCAGCAACTAACATCGGAGACTGAACTTTCCTAGTGTATACAGCATGCGTATTTGTTGCATTTACGATTTGAACTATTCAAGAAACCCCTGGGTTTTCATTGTAGTACAATCGCAGAAAATAATGTCACTATTTTAAAATAATTAAGACTCAAGTATATCAATGCTCACTTGAGTTGAAGCAACCGACAACCTGTTGTGTGCTCAAGATAATCTTTTTTGTAATAGTACCAATAAAGGAACTCAAACGGTAACAGGATAGCACTTCACAAACAATATTAGTACAGCCATATGGCGGGGGGGGGGACGTGGGTGGAAAGCAGACAAACGATGAGTTTCTTTTGGTAACACCTGGTTCAAAAGGACGTGATTTCAGAAGAATAACAGTTGTAGGGAGTATGGTTTTTCCTTTTAACTCAATTAAACGTGCACCTTTTAAAAGAAAGAATCTAGTAACGTGTCTCAAAGAACTTAAGCAACTTTGACACAAGTAATCCTGCAAGTTTCTTTCACATGCTGCAAAGTCATCTTTAGAAGCATAAAGTGAAAAACGATACAAGTTAGTACTCTATAGCCTCCAGTGAAACGAAAGAGAGAAAAAATGTTCAAATGTGTTTCCTTTGAAGAGACTTTGTTGCTTACCCGGGAGATAGTTAGGGGCTGACTATAGTCTTTGCCCCCTACTAATCTAAAGCCCCAAGGTGACGGTCCGTAAAGGGTCACAGGATGTGGCATTTTTAAACTGCAACTGTCGCTCCAGAAGACACTTGAAACAAACTCGTTGACTCCCAGTAAGAGTGAAAGCTGCAGCAATCTAAATCTAACTCTCTCTCTCTCTGCCCTGCCTTTAAATTCAGTGCTTCCACATTACATCATCTCCTTCACCCCGCACCACTCAGAACAAAGACCCGCAGACGGTCACGTGCCCTTGACTGACAGCTCGGCCGTCCCGTTGCCAGGCGACCAGCTCTGGGGACCATCCCTTCCACGCAGGTGTAAACACCCGCAAGACACCCTGGGAATTGTAGTTCTACCAAGAGCATCTGCCTGTCTCCCAGAACCGCAGACACCACCCACATAACCCTCTGACAATCCCAATCCCTGTTAGCCTCTCAAATAACTGCCTCACAACTCTCCTCCCAGAGCTGCAGACACCTCCCGCATAACCCTTTTACAATCCCAATCCTAAACAACTTCCTCACAACTTCCCTCTCTTTATATCAGCAGAGTAGGTGGAGGAGTCATTGCGCCCATTGACAGAAGCTTGCAAAGCCAGAGAACATAATTATAAAGTAATTGGCACTGATACAAAGGCAAAAATGACTGCAGATACTGGAAATTTCTGTAGAGGTGAGTAGAATCAATGTTTCAGGTCAATCATCTTGCATCAGAGCTGCCAATCAGTGAAGATGCTGCCTGAACTGCTGAGATTTTTCAGCTTTTATGTTCCTCATTACAGTCTTCAAGTGATTAGCATAAGAACTAAATGCAACATTAACTTGCAAACATAGAAATGAGAAGCAGAAGTAGGCCACTTGGCCCCTCGACGTGAGTTTTTTTTATGCAGTGATTGGTTACAACCTTCACCGTATTGCCTGAAATTATGGTAGAGGCAAATTCAATTGTGGTTTTCACAAGGGAATTAAATAACATGGAAAGGAAAGACTGCAAGGCAATAAGAACAACAGAAATGTGGAACTAAATAGTCTTTTTCTGTGCTGTAAATATTTTCTGATTCTAGGGACGCAGTTTTACAGCAGGACTGATGACAGGGGCGTTTGTAAAATGTCTTCTCAACATCAATCTGCCCATCCCTGTCTTCTCTCCTATTTTATGCCAGGGAGTGGAACCATTAGTTGGTTCACTTCCCCTTGGGTCCATTGATCCTCTTAAGCGGCAAGTTAATGGCCAGGGTCTAATCCCATCACTTCTGCTATTCAATCCATGGCACAGGCCAGGCAGGTAACCTGGCTACACAGACTGGTATTGGCAAGGTGGAGTCCCTCTTTTGGGGTTTCTAATGCCTAGAGGAGGTGGCCCCAGGGTCATACATTTGTGTAGCGCCCCCCCCACCTCCAGCCTCATAAATACAGTCTGCAAATTCCCTCAGTCCTCTCATTGGGGCTTTCCAGCTGGACCAACCAAAACCCCAGATTTACTTTACTCAGTTAGAGCTCCTGGACATCAGAGTGGCTGGCACTTCTATAAGATTGAACCTCCTCCCCGGATGTCAAATGTTAAATGAATGTAGAGTGGCCGGTATCAGCACAGATGCATTCCCTGTTAACTTGTCAATTGACAGCTGTCCAGAAAATCCTGCCCTTTTGTTCTGGTTTTACTGAATTTTTTGGAATTTGTTGCATTATTCAGGTAATGCAGAAAATAAATCAGTATATCAGGAAAGTTATAAGATCTCACAAAATAATGTATTTACATCTACAGTTGTCACATTTTAGTTGACTGCTAATATGGGAACTTGCAATTAAAATTATTTTATTGAAAAGGCAATGAACCTTGTAGGTGGCTTTTATAATTGTATCATAGAATCCCTACAGTGTGGAAGCAGTCCAGTCAGCCTATCAAGTCCACACCACCCCTCTGAAGAGCATCCCGCCCAGATCCACCACCCTACCCTATAACCTTGCATTTCCCATTGCTAACCTACCTAGCCTGCACATCCCTGAACACTATGGTCAATCCACTTAATCTGCACATTTTTGGACTGTGGGATGAAACTGGAGCGCCTGGAGGAAACCCACGCAGACATGGGGAGAAAATGCAAACTCCACACAGACAGTCACCTGAGGCTGAAATTGAACCTGGGTCCCTGGTGCAGGGAGGCAGCAGTACAACCACTCAGCCACCATGTTGCCCAAAATTGTTCTGTATGTATTTGATAGATGACTTTTAAAAAGTACAATTTCATTGTAAGATCAAATCAATTTGAGATCAGCAGGCCAAGCAGCATCAGAGGAGCAGGAAGGCTGACGTTTTGGGCCTAGACCCTTCTTCAGAAATGGGGGAGGGGAAGGGGGTTCTGAAATAAATAGGGAGAGAGGGGGAGGCGGATAGAAGATGGATAGAGGAGAAGATAGGTGGAGAGGAAACAGACAGGTCAAAGAGGCGGGGATGGAGCCAGTAAAGGTGAGTGTAGGTGGGGAGTTAGGGGGGGGATAGGTCAGTCCAGGGAGGATGGACAGATCAAGGGGGCGGGATAAGGTTAGTAGGTAGGAGATGGGGGTGGGGCTTGAAGTGGGAGGAGGGGATAGGTGGGAGGAAGAACAGGTTAGGGAAGCAGGGACAAGCTGGGCTGGTTTTGGGATGCGGTCGGGAGAAGCTTGTGAAGTCCACATTGATACCATTGGGCTGCAGGGTTCCCAAGTGGAATATGAGTTGCTGTTCCTGCAACCTTCAGGTAGCATCGTTGTGGCACTGCAGGAGGCCCAGGATGGACATGTCATCTGAGGAATGGGAGGGGCAGTTGAAATGGTTCGCGACTGGGAGGTGCAGTTGTTTAGTGCAAACCGAGCATAGGTGTTCTGCAAAGCGGTCCCCAAGCCTCCGCTTGGTTTCCCCGATTGTAGAGGAGGCCACAACGGGAACAGCGGATGCAGTATACCACATTAGCAGATGTGCAGGTGAACATCTGCTTGGTATGGAAAGTCTTCTTGGGGCCTGGGATGGGGGTGAGGGGGGAGGTGTAGGGGCAGGTGTAGCACTTGCTGCGGTTGCAGGGAAAAGTGCCGGGTGTGGTGGGGCTGGAGGGGAGTGTGGAGCGGACAAGGGAGTCCCGGAGACAGTGGTCCCTCCGGAAAGCAGATAAGGGTGGGGAGGGAAAAATGTCTTTGGTGGTGAGGTCGGATTGCAGATGGCGGAAGTGTCGGAGGATGATGTTGCACATCTGCTAATGTGGTATACTGCATCCGCTGTTCCCGTTGTGGCCTCCTCTACATTGGGGAAACCAAGCGGAGGCATTTGTGGGATGGGGGCCTCAACGTCCACACGAGGCATAGTTTGGTATCACCAGATTGTGAGAGAATGAACTGAAGAGGAAAATCTACTTTACCCAATCTCCTTCAATTTACCTGAGGAAATGTACCTATTCATGACAAACAGGAGTGACCACCACACAGTGCTTATGGAGACAAAGTCATATCTTCATAATGATGATAGTCCATCTTCGCTATGCCAACTAGGATAAACTCTGGGAAGATCCAACAGCTGAAATTGGTCATTCTTGAGGTCAGTGGCCATTATTATCAGCAATATTGCATTCAACCATAAGCTGTAACGCAATAACTCGGCATATCCATTAGCCCAACATACCAATAAAACAAACGACCCTAGCTCAAGGAGGAGTAAGAAAGTATGCCAAAATCAGCATTAGACATATCTATAGTTAGAGGTTAATAAAATCATGAGGGGCATATATAGAGTGAATAGCCAAGGTCTTTTTCCTAAAGTGGGGCAGTCCAAAACTAAAAGACATAGGTTTGAGGTGACAGGGGAAAGATTTAAAAAGGACCTGAGGAGTAACTTTTTCAGGCAGAGGGTGGTTCGTGTATGGAATGAGCTGTCAGAGAAAGTGATAGAGGCAGGTACAATTACAACATTTAATAAATACCTGGATGGGCATATAAATAGGAAGGGTTTAGAGGGATATGGGCCAAATGCTGTCAAATGGGACTAGGTCAGATTGGGATGTCTATTTGGCGTGGATGAGTTGGACCTGAGGGTGTGTTTCCATGCTGTACGACTGTGTCTCTACAAATGGGTCATTTTTGCATGGCAGTCTGTGACTGGTCAGATATCACAAGGATCGGTACTTAAGTCACAGTTATTCACAATATATATCAACTCTTTGGAGCTTGAGGCTGATCGTAACATTTCCAAATTTGCATATGATACAAAGGCAAGTGGGAATGCTTCATGAATGGGCAAGAACATGGCCAATGGAATAAAATGTGGAAAAATATAATGTTTTCTACTTTGATAGGAGAAACAGATGAGCAAAGTAAGAACAAAAACAAAGTTGCTGGAAAAGCTCAGCAGGTCTGGCAGCATCTGTGGAGGAGAAAACAGAGTTAACGTTTCGGGTCCGGAGACCCTTCCTTAGAAGGGACCCTTCCTCAGAAGCAAAGTAAGAGTTTGGAAAGTGTAGATGTAGAAAGTGTAGTCCTTGTTGATAAGTCATTGAAGGCTAACATGCTGGTGCAAGGGTAATGGAATGTTAGCTTTTATTGCAAGTGAATTTGAGCACAGGACTAGTGACGTCTTGCTTTAATTATGTAAGTGCTTGGTTAGACCACACCTGGAGTACTGTGTGCAGTTTTAGTTTCCTTATCTCAGGGAAGATATTATTGCCATAGAGAATGGAACAGAAGTTCATCAAACCCATTTCCAGGATGGTGGGACCATCTTATGAATAGAGATTGTGCAAATAGGGCTTAAATTTCTCTAGGTTAGGAAGTTACTGCTCATATAAGCACCTAGTAACTTCTCAAAACCTTTCAACCATCTACAAGATTCAAGACTGAAGAGTGATGAAATTCTGCCTGCTTGCTAGGATGTATTATCCCAAAAGCACTCAAGAAGCTTGATGCCATTCAGAAAGAGCAACCTCTTTAATTGTACCAAATCCAAACCTTAAAAACCAGTGAATTTCGGGTGCAGTATATACTTTGGACAAGATACATTCACCAAAGCTTCATCACCAGCATCTTCAAAAACTGCAATCTCTACCACCGTGAAGAATGAAAGCAGCCAATGTATGGGAATGCCATCATTTATAGGTCTACCCTCCAATCACATATCATCCAGTTACGAAGATTATCATGTTATCATGGTTTGGAACTAC